TTACTACTGGTGGTTGGCTTTGGTCGCAGTACCGCCACCTTCTGCGCATGAACCGAACGCAACACACGCGAATCGAACCAAACGCTTCGGACGGTTTTCATAAACCGTTCCATCCCTAATAAATAAAGAAATAAATAAATATATAGTAGAGGGCAGTACACAAGGCTAAATCATTCACGTCATATTTCCACTCGGGGGGGAAAAAATAAAAAAACAGCAAAGAAACGGAGTATAAAACTCTGATCACCAAATCGGCTAATGGGGTGGATTGATAGAGCTTCACTTATTAGAAACATGAATGCTGTTCATGTCATCCATGTGAAGTTTCCAGTTTTTAATAAATGTTAAATTTAGATTTGAAGTGAACTTCCACCAGTCTGAAATTAATTTACATTTCCAGCAAGCTGACAGCTTAATGACGTCCGTCTGCCTGAGGGGCCTTTCTGTGACTACCTTATTAAAACCTCCCTTCAGGAAATGCAGACAAACCTGTAATATGTAGACAGTTTCTAACAAAAAACACTGTAAACATTTTTTTTGAAAGTAGAAAAATGCAGTTTAGCCTGCTGCATTTTTAAGAGAAATTGTTTGGGCTAAATAACATTATTTACAGTAAATTTAAACAGTTTACCAGTGACTCCAACGTGTTGCCCTACTAGCATGTCCTCATGTATGCTGTCACGTCCCTGGCATGCCCTGCAACCAGCTGTGCTACAGAAGCAAAGGGTCCTGCCCCTCCACTGCATATATATTTCACTTTCAGCCCACCCCCCCTTGCTGCCACTTGCTAAAAATAGGTCCAGCAGATGCCTGATGCATCTTCCTGTGCTGCCTCCTATTAAGTCAAGTACTCTTTCAAACACTGGGATGCAGAGAGAGGCTGAGGACCAATTGTGCTCCATCTTTTCAACCCTTTCATCTTGAAACCTGAATCGCAAATCCCTTTAATTTAATCTTGAGGCCTCAGAGTGGGGGAGATGGTCTCATAGCTGCTGATTAAATTTGGCCAAAGTCTGAAGCAAACGGATTTGTGCCTGTGTTACAGTGTGTCTGATGGTCTGTCTTATCTCTAGTGGTGGTGCTGTGGGTTTTTAAGTGGTAGCAGCCTTGATTAACTCAGGGCGGTCCCAGTTGTTGATGGCTTGGGTGAATCTTATCTTGATGGTCCGCACTTTAACACTTTCCTGGTCTCTTTATGCAGGTTTTATGTTGGTCGTACTGCCCGTCTGGTGGCTTCAGGATCAAAGCCGAACCATGAGCGCTCCAGGTGTCTGCTGGCCAGCATAGATGCAGATATGCCACGGAGGTCCTCATCCTGATGGACCGAGACACCTTCTCCCACATCCGGCTATGGTGCCCCCGCCCCTTCGGCACCTACTCCCAGAATAAAGCTCGGAGTCCGGGCTCCGGGGGCAGTGGCGGCGGGGCCAGCGGAGCGGGGTCGCCCTCGGTCTGCAAGGCGGAGCTCTCTCAAGGTGCCAGGAGGACGCCAGAAGAAAGTGACAATGTAGGGATGATAGTTGGGGTTAAGGAGGGGAAGGAGGAGGAGGTAGGGTCGGAGAACACGCCACCTGAACCCGAGCTTGAATCCGGCTCCATGACTCACCCTCAGCCCCCTTCGGCACCGCCCACACCACCAACTGCTGGGTCTCAGATGCAGGATGGAAGGGTGCTGCTGGACACCTGGTATGTCATAAAACCTGGGAACACAAAGGAGAAGATTGCCTTCTTTGTTGCACATCAGTTCAGCGGAGCGGGTCAGCCAAGACCGAGCGCCATGAAGGTGAGAACCTGTCGGACTCTTCAGAAACTTCAGCATTTCTCAGATAGTTCAGCTCAAATATGATGACTATAGATTTCTCCTATCCTTAATGAAGTAGAGCTTAGTGACCTGATACCTACATCTCAGGGAAAGTGATGTAACATATTATTAAATATCTCCATTCAACATTAGCCTCATATTTTCATAATATTTTTGAAACTATGTGGCCTCTAAATCCTTTTCCGTTTCCTATAGGTTAAAGGTAACTGGGCAACAGATTGCAGTAAAGCCAAAAGACGAAGGCGGTGCTCGTCTTATGATCCTCCGGCCCGCTCCCAAGCTCTGACTCCTGACTGTTCAGTTGGACCTCCAAGCCCCGATGAGCTACAGCTGGGTGTGAACGAGACGGATCTGCTCTCGGTGGCAGAGATGGTAGCCTTGGTGGAGCAGAGGACCGCCATGGCCCTTCAGGGAATCGTGGCCGTTCACGGAAACCAGCACCAGTCGATCACCACTTCTCACAGGCCCAGCTTCACCCCCAGCCAGCACACTCTGCTCCGAGGGACAGTGTCCGACCCTTCGCCTATGCTGTTTGAATCAAACGGCTCCGATAGTCAGGCCTCTAGTGAATCCCAAAAGCCATCGTCTCCAATCCAAACGGACCAGGAGCTGGAGGAGCAGCAGGAGTCCTGCAGGGTAGCTCAGGCCATCGCTCACTTTGAGTCTCAAACCCTCAAGAACCGTCTCCATCTGGATTCTGGATCTGGACTACACTCTAGTAATCAAGATGGAGAGCATAGGATAGGAGACACTGTAACGCCTCCTCCACCGCCCAACCGCAGCCACGGGGAGGTGAGGATAGCGTTCAGAGTGTCGAATATGGACCCGCGGTCACAGCTGGAGCCAGCTGGTCGGTCCCGCTGTATGTTTATGAGCTGTGGTGGTGGGAGCAACCAAGCTGCTGCCAGGGCCAAAGAGAAAATCACCTGCGACTTGTACCAGCTCGTCAGTCCGTCATCTAGAGATCCCGGTAGTCTCCTGCTTGCCGCCACGGCGTCCACCCCCAAATCAGATGGGGATCTCCACCAGGACAAGCCGACCTGCGGCAGCCCGGACCCCACCCAGGAGCTGTCCACAGGGGACAAGAAGACGGCAGGTGTGGGTCGAGAACGAGTGACCGGGTTCCATGTGGAGGTTGTGGTGACGGGTGCTGTGGATCAGTGTGTCTTCTACGGCAAAGACAGCACAGAGAATGTGCAGGAGGAGACTGTGTGTTTTGCAATGCCGACGGGGGGAGGGAGTGGTGTTGGAAGTTCGACTGACCCGTCGTCAGACGACCCTCCTCCTGGACAGTTGTTCTTCCTCCAGTCCCCTAGAGGACCAGAGGAGGATGCAGCAGCAAAGAGCTCTGGTGGTGCTACTGGAATCTGCTCTTTGGACTGTGCTAACAACCACAGTCCTGGGGCGGGGGTGGGCTCAGGGGAAAGGGCCACAAGACCAGATTCTCCTGGTGTCGGGGAGGACTGTTCGGACCCTTCGCTGTGTCGCTTATACCGCCACGTGTCTCATGACTTCCTGGAGATCCGCTTCCAGATCCAACGACTCCTAGAACCCAGACAGTACATGCTGCTTCTCCCCGACCACATCATGGTGAACATCTTTAGCTACTTGCCTACTCGCTCCCTGGCAGCCCTCAAGTGCACCTGTCACTACTTCAAGGCAGTGATCGAGACTTACGGGGTCCGCGCACTGGACTCGCGCTGGAACCAAGACCCCCTCTACAGGGACGACCCCTGCAAACAGTGCAAGCGTCAGTACGAGCGCGGGGACGTTTCTCTATGCCGCTGGCACCCCAAACCTTACCACCACGACCTGCCTTACGGACGCTCCTACTGGATGTGCTGTCGGCGTACGGACAAGGACACGCCAGGCTGCCGGGTCGGGCTCCACGACAACAATTGGGTGCAGCATCCCGCCGACGGCACCACGTCCAACCGCACCAAGAGGGAAGAAAGGAGGGAGGACGGCAGGTAGAGGGGCGAGTCCAACTCTCATCTCACATACCTCCACCTGTCTCTCAGTCACTGGTGTGAGAACTTGGGTACAGACAGGGCGATGGGGAGGGATCCGCACTCCCAAGACTTTCTGCTTCCCTCATCTCATTTCTTTCTTAGAACTGGGGGAATGTTGAGATGCTAAGAAGGAAGAGAATCGTCACACTCCTTGCCTTTTTTTTGTTTCAACCTCCTCCAGAATCCCTCTTTCTCTCTCCCCCGATGCGCTCTGGAGTGGCTAATAAAAAGTTTGTAGACCAGGGTTGGGGTCCTCTCCTGCTGCTGTCTGTATCGTCTCTGCCTCTTAGTCTTTGGGGGCTCTGTCTAAAAATGCACATGGATGTTACAGTAGGCGATTTATGTGAAAACGTTGCAGTGTTTTGGGTTGAGATTAGCATTCATAAAGTGACGTATAGAAATGTAATGCCCACCAGCGTGCTTTCAGTTCCAGACACTCGCCCCTCGTTGTTATCACAAGCATCCATGTTAGCTGTACTGGGGGGCTTCAAGGGACAAAAAAAACCTTCCAGTGCAGAATGTTTAGAGTTACTTCAGAAATGTGATTGTAAAAAGCAAGCTTGATGAATTTATTTTTCTCTCCATTGTACAAGATGCCATTTGTAGCTGCCCTGCGCCGCGGTTCCAGCCGGGTCTGCACTTCAGAGACCCGCAGACCCCCACCTTGCTGTCCAGCCATAAATCGGAGCCACTGTCTGGTTTACAGAAAAAAATAAATAGATACGGGAGACAGACTTGAATGGGATTTAAAAAGAGAAACTAGATGTCACTTTGGAAAGGCCTGATGTCACTTTGTATGGTTTGGTTGATTGGTTTCTTTTTTTTTTGTGGTTGTTTTTGACATTTTTGTTTATTTTGTTTGGCTGTTTTTAATGGGTTTTTTTGTGTCTGAATGTTGTATTTTCTTTTATTCATGAGGATTGTGTTCTTCTTGTATCAGTCTGTCATCCTACTGAACCAGTAACATGGTTTTTCTTTTAAATAAATACTCTGTTTTATACTTTGTTTTAACCCCCGGCTCTCTTCCTGCCCTCCACCTGAACAGAGCCATCATTCATACTTTAAAGTATGTCCAACTCTCTACCACAAACTGTCTCTATACCAGCTTCCAGCCTTAAAAGCCCCCTACCTCTTACCTATTCTTCTGGAGACTGAGGCGTCAGATACCTCACAGATCAACAAATACTGAAAGTTGCACAGAACCACATTAGGGACTAGTTTCTTTTTGTTTTTTCACACACTCCATCCAACTCCACTGGATCCACATCAAACATCGATTACAAGAACAGTGCCTGGTGATGGCTCTGACTCCTCAATCTTTGGGGAAGGGCATTAAAAAATGGAATCTATTTATCCTTCCCCTCTCCTCGCTTTTAACCTCTCAGACCGACCCCCTTCCACCCCTGCTAGCTGACAGACTGGACATTGAAGAACTGTTGCGATGAATGATGCTGAAACTCTGCATGGATATGGACGGTTGGGTCGACATGGGAGAACTGTAGGATGCAAATGTGTACAATGCTAATGGGAAATATCTGCTTAAATAAAAACAGAAGTGATGATTAAAACTGGAAATCTGAATCCCCACCTGGTCAGTGTGCTGTTTCTCTTACCAAACTGTTCACTTCTTTTCTCTATGAAATGGAACCGCTTCCAACCTACATCGATTTCTTGTAAACCAAAGTTTGTTATACATTATAGAAACTTTATAAACAGATTTACAGGCACTTAAATTTCCTTTACAGTCTCTCCTTCACACTTCTAAAAGACTGATTGGATCAGAGTGTAACCAGAGACTAATGGAGTTCAATAACTGCTTGTGTTCTGTGTAACGTGTGTATGTATAACCGAAAGTAGAACCAAAATCTCTACTAGCTATGTACATTTGGAGGCCGATGTAAGTGGTAAAGTTCAGTTGGAGGGAATGTTGTTTGTTCTTATCGAATTTGTTTTGGACTTTGAGTACGGTAGGCCGTTCTAACTCAGGACAGCTCTGATCAATACAGCAAATTTAAAACTATTTCAGTCTCTAATCTTTCTTAGCATTTTGAAGATTTTTTTGTGGACTACCATACCTTACATGTATCTCCAGTTCATAGTGATATTGACAAACCCCCACACCCTTCGCAAAGGTGAAAACTTTTCAAAGTATTTCTTTTTAAAGCTCCTCCAGAGTTGCCATGGGCCTTATGGCTACTTCCCCAATTAATGCTCGGCTTGCCAAGCATTTAAAGCACCATGAACTTGTATCTTTTGCTACACTCTCTTGGATTGAACAGTACTGTCAAGTCTTGGGATATTGTTAACCCAACCTAACCTTGCTTTAAGGAACTTTCCCCCAAAGCTCTCTGCTGGGTATAAAGGGTGTGGATTGGCAAAAGTTTGGGGATAAGGTGGGTATCAATACTATCGCCAAATGGTATCACAAAGATGATTTTGCTGCTCTAAAACCTCACATTTATTCATTTGATTCAGAGCAGTTGAATTATTAGCTCTTGGGCAGTGCACTGCTAACGATGATGCTAAGACGATGAAATATCTTGCATTTATGAAGGACTCCCTAATTTAAAGGAATAGTACACCCAAAACATGATTAGCCTTCATTTTCTACTCACCCCCATGCTGAACAACACTCTGGAGTACTTTTTTGATATCTCAAATGCATCTGGAGATCTGGGAGGCTTCTTGCTGTCTGCTGACATTCAAATAATGGAGGTCTATGGTGCCCGAGGCAGAAAGGTCCATAAAAGTCCACAAAAAACGTGTCAATATTCCTCCATACTGCTCGTCAAATGTATTCCAAGTGTCCTGAGTGGGTAGCATCCTGAATTTACTCGAAACGAAGTCATTTAGAATGTTTTTAGAGCATAAACAGTAGTGTATAGGATTTCCTGAAAGCGCGCACGTGCGTGTTCATGACGCTACGGAAGCCGGCAGACCAAACCAGATGAAAGTGCGCATTCAGCGTCTGCTCTGCCGATAATGCAAGCGTAGAAGAAGAAATGTGCTGTTTACCTGTGCAAAGAAAGAAACAACGAAAGAAAAATGTCTGAGGACTTCAGTGTTGAGGAAGAGCATGAGTTCTTTGCCGAGCTGAATGCGCACTTTCATCTGGTTTGGTCTGCGGTTTCCGTAGCGTCGTGAGCTCGCAGGCGCGCGCTTTCAGGAAATCCTATACACTACTGTTTATGCTCTAAAAACATTCTAAATGACTTCGTTTCGAGTAAATTCTGGATGCTACCCACTCAGGACACTTGGAATACATTGGACGAGCAGTATGGAGGAATATTGACACGTTTTTTGTGGATTTTTATGGACCTTTCTGTCTCGGACACCATAGACCTCCATTATTTGAATGTCAGCAGACAGCAAGAAGCCTCCCAGATCTCCAGATGCATTGAGATATCAAAAAAGTACTCCAGAGTGTTGTTCAGCATGGGGGTGAGTAGAAAATGAAGGCTAATCATGTTTTGGGTGTACTATTCCTTTAAGTCGATATCTGGTATATTGCAATATCGGTATTTTGGATCATTAAGATTCCTGTCTAAAGACACATTTTTCAGTAATTTGTTTTTTTTTTTTTATCATGTGCACTTGTTTTTAAGCAAACCACAGAGCCCTTCACTGAGCAGCTAGGTTTAATTATACCAATGCCTTATATATGTCATAGCTAGAGCTTTTTTCTTTTATGAAACATAAAAAAAAGTGACTGCCCACTGAACATCTAGAGTGGTTTAGAATAAAAATATTATTTTTACTGAAAAATAATATAGTAGGTAAATGTTGACTGGTTCAGAATATAAAAACATGAAGCTTTTGAGTTTTGATGACGACTTAAGGCAATCAAGGCTGGATGATGGTTTTTGTTGTGACCGGTTGGGTAAATGTTTGGTTAGCATTAGCAGAAATTTTACAGAATGAGAGTGTGTCTTAAGTGCACCTATACAGTTTTATAAATAGTATTTTATTAGTCTGTGTAAGATGCTTATAGGCCTAACCTGCTGCAGTACCATTCGAGTGTAGTGGTGATCTCTACAGTCACTAGTTTGTAAGCTCTGCTGCCGTAGCACCAAAGATATGTCTGAAAAATGTGAACCGAAGACTTTCAGTTCATTGGTGATTATAAATAACATACATAGAGATCATATATATTTAGTTTTTGTCAGTAAATCCTTGTATTACTCACTCTACCTTTAAGCTAATTAGGTAATTTCTAAAGGAAATTGTTTTAACACAGTGTTATTTAAGGGCATCAGTCGAGAAGATGACTGAATACAAATAGAAATCCCACATTTCAGCTTGTATGTCGCGGGAAAAAAAGGTTAAAGGATGTTTCTTTCACTTCACAAACTGCAGGCCTGTTGTATGCAAGCAACTTCATGCTCCTTTTCAGAAACTCAGAAATTAGTACAAGTTTCAGGGGATTTAGACATTTATTTGATCAGACCACTGGACAAATGTGAAGACCAAAAAAAGGCAAGCTTAATTTTAGTGCATAGGTTAAAAAAAATAACTTTGATTGAAGCCTCAGTGCTGTTAAAGCTAGAGGAAGTAAAGGAAAGACTAAAGAAAAACCAGAGTACCCTAATTGTAGAAATATGATTAAGCAGCTATATGTTTTTTTATGGAAAGTGCATTAACCAAACTGATCTTTTTGTACATGTTTGGCCCTGCTATTAAATGTCTGGCCTTTAGCGTGTTCTACGGTTTTACTTTGTGAGGACCCGCCTGAAAAATTTAACAAGCTTTTATCAACCAAAAACAAAGTTTTAATACTTATATATTTGAGTTCAACTTCAGGTTTGACACACATCAAAACCAAGCAGAGGAACAGACTGGTATCTGATGTTTTTCACACCAAGTTATCGGAGCTCATCAAAGTAAAACTAATTCAGTCTGACTGTAATTTTTGTTGCCAATTCATCAAGTTTAAATCTGATTATAAGGAAGTTGCTCAGAGGAACTCCCGTTTTATAAATACGGGTTTATAATATGATTTTAATTTGTATTTATTTCGATTCCTAAGTATCTTCCCAGCAACATATTGAAGTCGTTTTTTTTATTTGAGATGGAAAGCATAAAATGATAATAATTACATTCTCACATTAAAAGATTGAGTAAAATAGTCTTTATTTTATAATCAGTTATTGTACGTTAACACTTATGGGAAATCAATAATTTTGACTGAGAGGGGGTGGCTCATGGAAAGACAAACTGCCCAAAGAGGTACACAAGTCAAAAAAGGTTGGGAAACACTGATCTAACTTACTTACAAAGTAAGACTAAAGGTCTTACTTTGGTGTAATGCCCAAAAAGTACCAGCAGATGGAGATGTAGAGGTTTATAGACTCCAGTGCAGGTTTGGATTTCTGAACAAAGACTCAGTCAAGCAAAGTATCCCCACATAAAAGCTGCAACGGCCATCATGATGAGAGCATTAGAATCCACAATGTGCTTCCATCCACGGTTCTCCCGAATGTCTGGCATCTGTGGCTCTAAGTCCTCTGCTGCTTCCTCAGCCTGCGGCCCTCCACTCAATCCACAGAAGCCACCAACCAGGCGGCAGATCCCAGACTTTTTATCACCTTCAGCTTCTGAAAGGCACAAAGGATTAGTTTATGATGGTTTTCTGTCTATCTTGATCTTTTTTTTTTTTTTTTTACATACCTGTACTTGCGTTAGCCCTCTCTCTCGCCCTCTCCCTGGCATCCTTACGGGCTCTTCTCGCATGCTCTTCTTGCTCCCAGTCCAGATCTTCCCTCTCTTCTTTAGAGTGACGAAGACTGAACACCAGACGATGGAGCTAGAAGACAAACAAGATTTTGTGTCCTCCGTTTCCATTTTTAAATGTCTGGATTAAACGTTTGCGGTGATTTTCTGCCGACTGCTAAAGGTCTTTATATCTTACGTGTTTAGTCTCAATAGGCTCCGTACAGAAACTGATCAGCAAGACCAGCACTGATGTGCTGGCAAAGAGGATGATGGCAAAGTGTAAGTAGTGAATGCCGCACACAAGGTAAGGGCACCGAGAGGGGAAAATACAGCTGCCGGTACCAAACCAGAACTCTAGCAACATCCGACACAGGCCCATCACTAGACCACCAATCAGGCCCCAGAAAGCCCCCTGCAGGTTTATGTCAGAGAAACAAAAAAAAACAAAGATTAAGTGTAGTTGCTGCTTTTTCAGGGCTTGACTGAATAAATGCTGATCTCAGGAATCAGGAGATGCTTTCTTACCGTTTCGTTGACCCTTTTGACAAAGACAGCCAGCAAAAAGACGGAGGCGATGGGTGGAGACAGATAGCTGGAGACTGACTGGATGTAGTCGAACAGCTGACCACTCTGGGCTGCCTGAACCACGGGGATCCAGCAGATGCTGATGACCACGATGCACAGAACCCAAATGCTAAAAAGCAAAGCAATGATTAAAGTTTACCTACAAATACAAGCCTTGCAAAAACATTCATAACCACTGATTTTTCCACTCTTTCTATATAGATGAATATGTGCATGTTATTTTTACACCATCTCATCCACACTGTTCCTAATGTGGAAAGGTTAGAGGTGCGACAGCTTTCCTGGACAAAACCTGATGAGACAGGCGAGGTATTTGCCTTTGTCTGCATAGAAACAATCGTTTGATTGCAGTTTATGATCCGTTTACCGGCCTATGACGATGAGCTCCCGTTCAGTGGCCTGTGGCCTGATGCGGGTCCAGATGTCCATGGTGAACAGAGTGCTGCTGCTGTTAAAGATGGAGGCCAAAGAAGACATGAGAGCGGCCAGCATCACGGCCAGCATTAGGCCTCGCAGACCTGCGCAAAGACAGAACGCGATCAAAGGTTTGAAGAATGCTCTGGTTATCGCTGGGCTTCTTCTGGTCCATTTTTTTCCCTGTTAAAGAACTATTACGGTAATGTCTTTTAATTTTGATCTAAAAATAACTGGGTGAACAATAATCACCTTTTATGGGACACTTTGGATCAGAGAAATAATTGCAATAGTTAAAGTAGGCAAAAAAGCCGGCTGTGGACTTTCCACGTCTCCTGGAAGGCCTTCTGACAAGGTTCTAGTAGCATTCAGATAAAGGTTGTTATGGATTATCCAGCTCCACCATCAGCTAAAGTTTTGGTTGAACTCCTGACAATGTTTTCTACGGCTCAAGCTGCATTCAAACCTCCTTTGCTGCCAGCCTCCATGGTTTCTGTGCTGCTACAGCTCAAACCTTTCCAGCAAAACACATTAAGGTTCCTTAGGTTTATCTTGTGTTTCTTACCCTCACTCTTAGGGCCTTTCTGCCCGCCTGCTCCTTTCTCCCCAACAAAATGCATTTGGTTATATTAGCAACTTGCTGAGGAATATTCCTGCAACATAAGTGTGCGTGTATGTATATCCCTGAGCTTTTCTACTTCTGAGCGGAGCCGTATCGGGACTTACCACTGGGCATGACTGTCACCACCAGTTTAGGATAAGCTATATTGGAGCAGCCCACTTCGGTCCCACAAACTTCCTTGCAGATCTCAGGGACCACGCAGCCGACATCATCTACAGAAAGCCAGAGACACATTTACTCATATATATATATATATATATATATATATATACACACTACCGTTGAAAAGTTTGGGGTTACATTGAAATGTCCTTATTTTTGAAGGAAATGCACTGTACTTTTCAATGAAGATAACTTTAAACTAGTCTTAACTTTAAAGAAATA